CTGCTAGGTCACTGCCAGGAAAAAAGCATCACCCTCTTGGAAAAGTGGGTCCCGATGGCCAAGCCAGAGGAAGGTGCTGAGCAGGGATGTAAACAGCATCCAGCCCGGGAATTATGCAATTACGTGAGTCTGAGAGAGAAACCTCTCCAGCGGCGTCACACAGGGAAGGATCCCGATGCCATCTGCATCCCGTGAGGGCAGACCCCGCCTCAGAGCCGGGGCTGCAGACACCACAAGCCGCTTAATCCGCTGAGCACCGGGATAATGGGGCTCGGCGGGGCCGGAGGAGCCCCTGAGCTGCCTGTGCACGGCTTCGTTCCCAATCCTGGCACAGGGGGGGCCAAGCCGTGATTCATCTGCCTCCCACATGTCGCCCCTCGCAGCAAATCCTGCCCGGAGATAATTGCTGCCTTCCTGAGCGGGTGCTCCAACAGAGGGACCGGCCCGGCTGCGGGGCCGCAGTGACAGCTCGGGGCTCTTTGAAGATGCTGAGAGAGCTGCTAAATATGCAAATCCAGGCACACTGCTGTGGCTCTAATTTAATGGAGTTGTTGACCCTCTGCAGCTGTGTGGGAGCAGGAAGAGACAGACTGTGGAATGCAGCATCCCTGATTGACTATTCCAGCCACGGGCCAAGCCCTGCTCTGCTGGGCTGTTTTAATGGCTGGGAGTTGATCCAAAATGCCATTTCTGAAGAGCAAAAAGCTGCTGGGTCATATTTCTGTTTCGATTCAATGAAAAAGCTTAAAAGAGAGAGATAAGGGTGTAGCTCCAGGTCTTTTCGTCCATGGCTGGAAGCTAAAGCAGGTCCAGAGCTGCCCTGGAAATGTCTCCAGTGGAGCAAAGCCAGCTCTGCCTCCTGCTCCAGGCTTCTTTCAGGGCTGCATCTGGTTCCCAATGATAATGATGATGCCAACATCGTGCTCCTGCCTGGGATAATCTCCCTTTTGTTACACGTGCCCTGATGGGGCCAAACATTGCTGGTTCTGCCTGTCCAGTTTCTTATGTAACAGCTCCCAGGGACAGAGGGCTGCATGGGGGAGAGATGCTTGGTTTTTGGAATAAGCTCCTTGGGCAAGAAAGCTTAGATATGACTCCCCATCCTACAAGGAGTCAGCTGAGAAACTCCCCCCAGCAGTGATCATGCCTGGCACAACCAGCAGCCTCCCCATCCTTCCCCAAACAAAGCTCATCCACTCTGGGCAGGGCTGCTGACGCTGTTGGAGAGGTCAGGATCAGAACAGGACAGTGCTCCCTTTTCCTGGCTGTCCCCTGCTCTCCCTGCCCAGCCCACAGAGCAGAGCAATCAGCTAAATGCTTTATCCCTCTGCAGCCAGTCACGCCAGGGGGAAAAAAAAAGAAAAAAAAAAAAGAAAGAAAGAAGCCTGAAGTGATCCCTTTGCTGGCCTGACACCTTAAAGCCTCTCACCTGTCCCTGTCTTTCATCAGAGTTCTAAACTCCTTAGGATGTCATCACGTGCTCCATAAATAACAAATATATATAAGCAGGGGCTGTGGAGGATGCAGCAGACAGAGGAGGGGAGGCAGAACCCCGGATCCTCCTCTCCTGCCAGCGCTGAGACGGCACCAGGCGGGCAGGGAGCGGCTCAGCGTCCCCGGCTGGTAAGCACCGACATTCCTGTCACATCCCAGGGACACTGCCCGCCTCGGGGACAGCTCCTGGTCCCCTGGGCACTGCGGCTTGCTCCTGTGTCCCAGGATGGGGGAATTTCCCCAGAGGGGTGGGCGGTTGCTGTGCAGAGCTTGGCTTGCTGACAAGTGGTTTGGGCACAGGGAAGGGTGTGACTCTCATCCCTGTCTCACCCCTACACTTCCAACATGTGCTTCCAAACCCAGCTGTAGGGACTCTTCTCACTGAAACCCTCCCTGTTCTGGATGTGGGAAGAGCTTGAGATCTTTTCCACAGAGTATTTGATTTTAAGACTGGGTGAATAACTCTGTACTGTCAACTAATTAAAAAAAATCCAGCTCCAAATCCAGGCAGACAATTCATAACTTAGTAAAAGATATTGCCAGAGGGGTTCTGTGCACCTGCCTGTTTATTTACCTGTGAGCATCTCTCTGTACCATGGGGATGCTCTGATTTCTGGTGCACAAACACAAGTGATGGCAGAAAAAATTTACAGAGCAAGCTCTTGGTTCACTGCTACAACACACAGACATAGTGGGCTCATCTCAGGCATGTCTGGCAAGGAGTCACAGCACAAAATTCAGCCTGGGGTTTAAGTGACTTGAACAAATACAGAAGGCTTTGCTGGAGCATCAGAGGACAGATCTATGGAGAGAGAATTTTCCTCATTGCTGTTTCTCACTTACTCTGGGACCTGGGCAGAGTTTCCTTCACTTCTGCAGGTTTGATGCTTCCCATGGTCCCCCCATGTCTGTGGAGGGCTCGTGGTTTCTCCAGGGTTAAGGAGCACTGTTGGTTCCCCTGTGCTCTGCAGGTTCTGTGTATCCTCCCCAGAAGACCTTTGACTCTTCAGGGAGCTGAGAAGCAAAGCAAGAAGTTCATTTCCAGAAAACAAACATAAATATATCAGCCCTTCAGCTGTATAACCTGGGTTGGCAGGAATAACATGCTGGAGGGGAAAAAATGCAAGGAAAACAAGCAAGGAGCAACCTTTCCCCTTCCCTGACTACTGCTCCAGGGTGTTGCTGGTTGGGGTCTCAGGCAATTCCTAAAAATAGCTGGAGGGACCTGATTGCCCTTTCCCAGTTTTCTCTAATGGGATTGGAGCAGCCACTTAAACAGGAGGTTTTGAATCTTCAGCTCCTTGGATGTCCCTGCAGAGACTTCCTGGGACTCTGTTTCCAGCCTCCATATGCTCTGGGATAAAGACTTGCTCTTGGACAGTGAGCACTGGATGGTGGCTGTTGGAGAGCAAACACCCCTGAGGAACCTGGGCTGGTCCCTTTTCCCTGCAGGGGAGTGAACTGCATGACCTTTAACAGTCCTTTCCAACCCAAACCATGCTGTGATTCCACAATCCAGCTCCAAAATTCCCATGGAAACTGAAATGCTGGCCCTGCCTGAGGCCATATTAAACTGCCCTCTCTGCCCTGCCATCCCTGCACAGCCATCCCAGCCTGATCCAGCAGCATCTCCCCAGCAGCATCCCCAGAACTCACCTGAGGCCCTCAGCACCCCCAGGATCAAACCACCACTGCATTTTCAGGGTCCCCTGAGCTCACCCTCTTGCCTACTCTGGGATTTATTCATGCAGACGAGTCCCTAATCCAATTAGTGGGACGGGGAGTTCCAGAAGATTTGACAATAAGCTCTATGAACATTAGAGCCACCCCCAGTCCCCCAGCACCCCACTCTCCCTGCCAGCTCACCCTGCTTTGCTTCCCTGCTGCAGGTGCATGAACCACCCATTCCCAGCATAACTTCAGTCAGTCCTTGGTGGCTGGAATGAGCACTGGGGATGCTAAATAATTCCCCTGCCAAGGAAAACCCTCTGTCCCTGATGGATCTGATCCCTCAGATACACACCCACAGCCAAACCAGCCATTCATTGAAAATAAATCCTGACCCCCCTGTCTCACCTCAGGCTGAATAACACTGGCATTTCAAGCATCCAGCCCTTGGCATTTCAGGATGGAAAATTCCCAGCTTGTGCCAGTTGTGCCTGTGCAATGTTTGTGCTGGTAATGCTTTTGTTTCCATAAATCCTATTAGCTGGAGGCAAGCCTATAATTAGCAGGGAAAGCCAGCACCTCTGAAACAATAATCAAAAATGACCTGGCTTTGCTCTGGCTTTGCTGGAAATTGCTTGCATATTGCTCTGAGTTTGGATGGATGGTTGAATGGGTGCTCTGAAAGCCATTCCCACTATTTCTGTCTGCAGGATGTGTGTGCTTAGTGAAGTTATTCACCCAGTTTGTGGTTCTCTCTGGGTTTATTGACTCGGTTCACTCACACGTGAAAGCAGAGGCAGATTGAAGGCACAGGCTCTGATCCAGGTCAAGGGATTTGTCTGGGCTGTGCAGGATGGGTGCTGCCAGATGACCTGGGGTGCTGGTGACCCTCTTGGGGGAACCCATGTAGAAGGTGCAGTGCCCTGGGCTGTGTTGGGTGGGATCAGCTACCCAAAACTGCTGGGGCAGGGGGCAAAGCCTGAGGGCACCTCACCAGGGAGGACAGCCAAGGCCTTCAGCCTCAGTCACCTGCTCAGCCCTGCCAGGGATCCACCTCTGTGGGTGTGGACATGACCTGAGAAGCCAACAGAGGTGCAGCTGTGTCACTCACCTGCTCAGTGAGTCAGAGAAGGGGGTAAATCCTGCCAGCTTGTGCTCTGGAGGAGGTGGCTCTGGCTGCCTGATGTGTGTCCCTGTCAAGGCACCTCCGTGACCTCCTGCTCCAGCACAGCTGTGCTGTTCCACAAACACCAGAGCATCACAGGGAACTTTCACACAGATAGGTGCTTGTTTTCCAGCTCTTGGCTCCCTGCAGGCACATCCCACCCTGCCTGTCCCAGGGCAGCAGCTCCAGGGTTCTCCTGCCCGTCCCACTGCCTGGGGCTGTCATGGGCTGGGCAATGTTGGGCAGGATGCTCAGCCCCCCACCTGCTCCAGCTCTAGCAGCTCTGTCCCCTCTCCCTGCTCTGTCCCACCACCTGGATCACTGTGCTTCTGTCCCCCTGGTCCCCGGGGTTTGCTCACAGCCAGTGCCAGCCTCCTGTGTCCCCAGCTCACAGCGAGGGCAGCTGGGCTCACTGGGGGTGGCTATTTGCTGGGTATACAAACAGGAAAAGGGGGGCAAGCAGCCTAATCCTGTCTGTGAACAACAGATACTTCTGCTGGCTAACGGTGCTGGAGGAACTCGGCTGGAATAAAGGGTGCGGGAGCCGGCAGGGGCTGCCCCGAACCGAGGGAGCGGCGGGAAGCCGGGCAGGAGCAGGAGGAGGAGGAGCAGGAGCAGGAGCAGCAGCAGCAGCAGCAGCAGCAGCAGCAGGAGCAGGAGCAGGAGGAGGAGGATGCCGGCACTCAGCGCGTTGCCGTTCCTGAAGCCGGTGCAGCTGCGCTCGCCCCGCAGCCCGCCCGGGGGCCAGCGCCGGCACACGCTGCCCGCCAGCGAGTTCCGCTGCCTCGGCCCCGGGGATGCCGCCAGCGTGTTCGAGATCGAGCGCGAAGGTACCGGAGATTCTGTCTGCTGCCATCAGCTGGGTCCCCTGGCGTCTGTTTCCAGTCTCTTGTGCTCCTTGTAGTCGTGAATTCCCCTGTGGGTGCCCCTCGTGGGATGGATGCAGTGGTCCTGGCCACTGCGGGCTCCCTAATGAGGTGGAAGATCTGTGGTTAATGAGCTGGAGAAGCACGGCCCCAGCTCACCCTGGGAGGTGATGCTGAGTAGGACCCCAAAGCAACCCTGTGAAAGACAGGATAGGAAAAGGGGAAGTGGGAGGAAGGACACCACGCTCTGCCTCCTCCTGCACAAGGGCACTTTGAGGTGCCACCCTGGAAACCTTTCCCCGTTTCCTTCACCGTAGCTTCCCTCACCCAGACTCACCCAGCCCATTTCTCCCTCCTCTCCAAGGGCAGGGGCAGCCAGGGAGATGCTGAGAGGGATGGCTCAATTCAGCACCAGCTGCTGTAGCTCTGGAACCAGCAGAGTGAGGAGCTGGTCATTGGGCCATGGGGAACTGCCTCTGGAGAAGCAGAACTGCTCCCTGGAACCATCTGTGTCCCTCAGAACTCCTTTAGACCTCGAAGGCAGCAGGACACGTGCCATCTCTCCCCATCACATCCCACTTTCCCTGCCCTACATCAGTGCTGGGAGTGTTTCTGGGTCGGGTGTGCTTTGTGTCTCACTGTGGTCACCACTGCCCCCCTCCAGCCTTTATATCGGTTTCTGGGGACTGTCCCCTGCACCTGGATGAGATCCGACACTTCCTGAACCTGTGCCCGGAGCTGTCCCTCGGCTGGTTTGAGGAAGGGCGGCTCGTGGCATTCATCATCGGCTCCCTCTGGGACCAGGAGAGGCTCAGCCAGGTATGACCCAGTCCTTCCCACCTCGTGCACCACAGGGAGGGCACCAGCTGGTGTGAGGAGAGCAATGCAGGGCACCTGGGGGCACCTCAGCCTCAGGGGAGAAGGGGCAAATCCAGCCTCAGGTCATTCAGTGAAGGGTGGGATAAAGGCAGGGGTGACTCTGCCCTCAGGCAGGATCAGGAGGTTCCATGGATCCAAGGGTTTGGCTTTTCCTTCTGCTTGAGACCCTCCAAACCCTGTCTCCTCCCAGGGAGGGGTTTGAGTGGCCCATCAAGGCACCAGCCCTGCCAGAGCCTGGGGACCGGGAGAAGCTCTCTGGGGCCCTGAGGCTACTCCCAAAATCTCCTCCCACAACTAACTGTTACAGGGCTGCTCTGGTAGAAATCAACTTTCTCATTAATTAATTTTAACCATGCTGTTAAAAAATATGCCAAGTAATTCCCCTCAACATTCATTTTAAAATTAAAAACCCTCTGAGGACAATGGGGGGAGCTGAGCAGGCATGGGGAGAGTGAGGACCCTTGTGACAGTGTTTACAGGGGTCTGAGGATGAGGGAAGAGACGAGGATCTGACTCCATGTTTCAGAAGGCTTGATTTATTATTTTATGATATCTATTATATTAAAACTATACTAAAAGAATAGAAGAAAGGATTTCATCAGAAGGCTGGCTAAGAGTAGAAAAAGAAGGAATGATAACAAAGGCTTGTGTCTCAGACAGAGAGTCCAAGGCAGCTGACTGTGATTGGCCATTAATTAGAAACACCCACATGAGACCAATCCCAGATGCACCTGTTGCATTCCACAGCAGCAGATAATCATTGTTTCCATTTTGTTCCTGAGGCTTCTCAGCTTCTCAGGTGAAAAAATCCTAAGGAAAGGATTTTTCATAAAAGATGTCTGTGACAGACCCTGGTTCTTTAGGGTGGGGAATAAGAAGCAGGATGAGGCACCCTGCTCCTGCTAAGCCCTGTTTCCCCCTGGCAGGCAGCACTGACCCTGCACAAGCCGCAGGGCTCGGCTGTGCACAGGGCTGCTCTGGCAGAAATGAACTTTCTCATTAATGAATTTCAACCATGCTGTTAAAAAATATGCTAAGCAATTCCCCTCAACATTCATTTTAAAATTAAAAACCCTTTGAGGATGATGTGGGGAGGCAAATGGGCATGGGGAGAGTGAGGAGCCTGGTTCTTTGGGTATTGGAATAATTACCAATATAGCCAGATGGGACATGCCTGGGCTTGTCTGGCCCTTGCTGCTTGACCAAAAGGCGGCAACTGTGGTGATTTCACCCCAGAGACACCTTTGGCCAGCTGTGTGCTGCAGCTGGGCGCTTGGGACAAGTCCAGGTATGCAGGAGCTCAGGTTTACCTCTGGTGGAGAAGCTTCAAGGCAAGGTGAAGGAAAAGGAGTCAGGTTCTGCTGGAGGGTTTCAATCCAGAGCTTTATTCCTGGCCCACAGCTCTGCTGCTGAATGCAGCAACAGCTCCAACAGAACTCCCCGAACCACATGGTTGCTGTTCCTATTACCCCAGGGAGAGGGGCAGGGAAGGAAAATGAGGGACCACCAACCAGGTAGCAGGGGGGAGTCTCAAGGGACAAATGACACCTGGATGGCCCAATGTCCCCTCAGGGGTAGGGCATCTTTTGAACTCTGCCAATCACTTGACAGGCATGGGGAGAGCAAGGACCCTGGTTCTTTGGGGTGGGGAATAAGAAGCAGGACGGGACCCCCTGCTCCTGCTAAGCTCTGTTTCCCCCTGGCAGGCAGCACTGACCCTGCACAAGCCGCAGGGCTCGGCCGTGCACATCCACGTGCTGGCCGTGCACCGCACCGTGCGCCAGCAGGGCAAGGGCTCCATCCTGATGTGGCGCTACCTGCAGCACCTGCGCTGCCTGCCCTGCGCCCGCCGCGCCCTGCTCATGTGCCAGCCCTTCCTCGTGCCCTTCTACCAGAAGTGCGGCTTCCAGGCGCTGGGGCCCTGCCAGGTGACCGTGGGGGACCTGGCCTTCGTGGAGATGCAGCACGCGGTGCGGGGCCACGCCTTCATGCGCAGGAACAGCGGCTGCTGAGGCCCTGGGGATGGGAGGCTGCAGCCCCTCTCCATGCCCAGATCCATCATCCCCAGCTGGCCCTGGATACAGCTGCTCCCTCTGCCACATCTGCCTTCCAGCCACACCAGCCTGGCCCCATCCCATCCCTGCAGGGCTGGGCACAGGAGCTCCCGTCAGGTCCTGCTGGAAGCATCAGCTCCCAGGGCTGGGCACAGGAGCTCCTGCCAGGTCCTGCTGGAAGCATCAGCTCTCTGGGCTCTGTTTGAGCTGCCCTGGCTGCAGGGCCATGAGTCCCCTGGGATGGAAAGGCTTTGCCCTGGGAATGGCTGGGAGGGCTCTGCTGGTCTGAGGACACTCCCACCCACCATGGTGTGCTGAGACACCCAGCAGAGCCCCTGCAAACACGTGCCCCAGCCTGGCACATCTCCCACCATCACCACCACCACGAGTGGAGCACACCATGGCCAAGCCCTCCCTGAGCAGCCCCCAGGCCAGGCAGGGGTTGTGGCAGCCACCCCTGCCCACAGCCATCCTTCCAGCCCCCTTGGAGCACACTCCCAGCCCACAGCCACCCTGAGCTGCACCTTGCAGAGCCTCCCCAGGGAACCAGCCCAAACCATTTGGTCCTCCCTGTCCCAGACCCACAACCAGCCCAGGACAAGCCTTTTGCAAACAACTCAGGTTGTTGGAAAGCAGTAAATAAAGATGTGGTGGTGATTTTCTACACAGCCCATGTGTGTTCCTGCCCTGCTTTGATCATGATCTCACCACAATGGCCAAAGGGAGAGCACCAGCTGGTGTGAGGGGAGCAATGCAGGGTACCTTGGGGCATCTCAGCCTCAAGGGAGAAGGGGCAAATCCAGCCTCAGGTCATTCAGTGAAGGGTGGGATAAAGGCAGGGGTGACTCTGCCCTCAGGCTGGCTCCATGGAACCTCCTGATCCTAGGGTTTGGCTTTTCCTTCTGCTTGAGACCCTCCAAACCCTGTCTCCTCCCAGGGAGGGGTTTGAGTGGCCCCTCAGGACACCAGCCCAGCTTGTCCTCCCTCCCTGCCACACCAGCCATCACCAGAACAACCAGAACCCCCTAAAAGTGCTCCATCCCCACGCCCAAGGAGGGAGGAGAGGCCTTGTGCATCTCATTAAATACAGGTAGAAATTTATTAAGGATGGGGGAAACCCACAGCTTTTTAAAAAAGTATCAAAAAGAGACAAATGAGGTGAAGTGTCTGTCTTTGGCTGGAGCAGCAACTGGAGGGACAGAGTGGGGCTGAAAACTGGCCCAGGGTAGAGGGAGGGATGCAGGGACGGATGCAGATGCTCCTGGGCTCACTCAGCAAGTGGTTGTGGAGTGGGAACCAGGCTCTCAGCCCTTGAATATTCATCCCAGGACATCCTAAGTGGGGCATTCCCACCTGCCCCCACTTGAAAGCGCTGAGGCCTCCAGCACCAAAGCAACACATCTCAGGGGAGAGACAGCCTGGCACCAGCCTGGGTCCAAACCAGCCCAGAGGGGTCACCTGGACCCCAGGAAGGACCTGCCTTCGTGCCATGGCTGGTGGTGAGGAGGAGGAGGAGGAGGAGATGCTGGGGAGAGCAGCCCAGGGCTGGGGGCAGGTGGGACTGTGCAGCCTTGGGCAGGGAGAGGGAAGGTGACAGCCCCATCCTGCACTTCTCCACCTGACCAGTACCACTGGAGGAAGGAAGGGCTGCCTGGGCCTCCATGCTTTGAAAAAGGGAGAAGGAACCAGCAGGGACTCAAGGCAGAAGGGGGGAGCACCGACAGCTCCCTGAGAGGTCTGTGGGCTCCAGAAGCAGCCACAGGAGCCCCCCAGGGGGATTTTCTCCATGTCTGCCTCCCACCATGGCACTATAAACACAGTCCTTGCCACTCCTCCCCTTCCAAAAGGAGAATTTCACGGAAATAAGGGAAGGAAAAGCCCCCTGCCCCAAGTCCTGCCTCTCCATCTAGTGAGGAGCCAGGCAGGAAGGCACAAGCCTCCTTGGGGACCTCAGGGGGAACAGGACTGAAAAATATCTTTGAAGCTCAGCCCTGAACATCTTGGAGCCATGAAAGACACTCCAGAGAGCACAAAAGGGGTAAACCCTGGGCCTAAAGAGCTGTGGATAGAAAAAAGTGCCCCTGCAAAAAGGGGGTTGTGTTCACAGTATGAGCTGCAGCACTGCAGGGCACCGGGGTGGGATGGGGCCCCAGGCAGGCAGGGGCACAGGCTGGAGACTTCAGCAACTTCACCCCAGGACTGGCAGTCCAGCCTGGCCATGGATACACCAAAATCCCACTTCCCTCAGCCCTTTCCCCACACAGGCAGCAGCCAGAGTCAGTTCCCAGGCCAGTTATGGCTTTCCAGCATCAGGAGGGAGCCCCAAAGGGGTGCAAGGCAGGGCTGGCTCAGCCCTGCATCCCCAGCACTGAGCAAGGGGTACCCCAAACCCACCCTCCCTGAGGATGGAGCCATGCCCAGAGTCTGCCCCATCCTGGAGCAGCCACCAGCATGGCAGGACCCACCCTGTGGGAAGCACGGCCCGTCCAGCAGGGTCAGTGCAGGACCTGCTCCAGCTCGTACTTCTCACAGAACTTGCTGGTGAAGGGCAGGCAGGTCAGGTACTCCACCCAGCGCCAGTTCACGGGGTACACGTAGAGCCACACCACCAGCGAGGCAAAGAGCCCCAGGAAGACCAGCAGGGACACGATGATCATGGCCCGCTTGCGCAGCTTGTCCACCGTGCCGAAGGTGATGTAGGGCAGGAAGGCGAAGGACAGCAGGAGCCCGCTCAGGAAACCAAACAGGTGGGCAATGTTGTCGATCCAGGGCAAGAGGCCACAGATGAAGAGGAAGAGGACGATGCCGAAGAGGTTGAGGAAGGCTTTCCAGGGTTTCTCCAGCACTTGCCAGCTTTGGAAGAGTTCCACGAAGAGGCAGGCCAGCAAGCCGAACTGGGAGCCGGCAGGGCCCACCTGCAGGGATGGGGGAAGTCAGGGCTGGGCTCTGTGTCACCCCAGACACACCCTGTGTCCCCCAGGGATCATCTCCTCCCCTAGCAAAGCACATTTGGCTCCTGCATCCCCGTGCAGGATCCTGCATGGGGCTCAGGGGTGGGAGCCCTGGCACAGGAGGATGAGGAGGGGAGCAGGGTGGTGCTGTTTTGGCAGAGCTGGCAATTTCTGTGACTCAGCAGCCAGACAGCATCAACCCCTCACAGACCACAGCCCCATCCTGGCACACCTGTGGGGGGATTAGGGCCCTTGGCATGATCTCATTTAAAGGTTGACAGGGTTTGGCTGGCAGCAGATTAGCCATCTGCCTGCCCAGGGACCCCGCACGCTCACGGACACGTGGTGACATGTGACACACATGGCATGTGCCAACACCACACGTGGGGCAGGGACACCCCCTCCTCCTCTCCCTGCAGCAAACCCTGCCAGGGGGTGAGAATCTGCTCCAGCACCTTCCCCAAACCTCTGCCTAGGATGGGGATAGAGAGGGGCATCCTTTGGTCCCTGGGAGCCAACAGGATTTGGGACAGACCCCCAGACCCTCACCTCTGCCCTGTAGGGTAGGAAGATGGCACTGGCCAGGTTGCCCGTGATGCCACTGAGGATGAAGATGATGGAGATGCGGTGCCAGCCTGCCAGCTTCTCCAGGTCCCGCAGCACTGTCATCTGGAATGTCACTGACACCAGGCAGTGGATGATGCTGGGGGAGAGGCCCTGGGTTAGAGACCCTGCCCAGCCCTCCCACCCAGTGCCCCAGGGCATGACACAGCTCACAAAGTACCCCTGTGGCAGACATCTTTGTATGAAAAATCCTTTCCTTAGGATTTTTCCTCCTGAGAAGCTGAGAGGCCTCAGGAACAAAATGTAACCAATGGTTATCTGCTGCTGTGGAATGCAACAGGTGCATCTGGGATTGGCCCATCTTGGATGTTTATAATTAATGGCCAATCACAGCCCAGCTGGCTTGGAGAGAGAGTCTGAGACAGCTGCCTTTGTTATCATTCTTTCCTTTCCATTCTTAGCTTAGCTAGGCTTCTGATGAAACCTTTTCTTCTATTCTTTTAGTATAGTTTTAATGTAATATATATAATAATATAATAAATCAAGCCTTCTGAAACATAGAGTCAGATCTCTGTCTCTTCCCTCATTTGAAAACCCCTGTGAACACCGTCACACACCCCCACTGAAGGCACCTGTCACAGTCTGGGAGTGCCCTTCCCTCCTCTCTCCCAGCCCATCCTGGTGGGCACTCCAGTGCCCAGCTCCCCCATCCCTGGGGATATTGGGGCTGTGGCTCACCCAGCGTGCAGGAACAGGGACAGCCACAGGCGGTAGAACTGGTCAGGGACCTCCGGGTTCAGGAAGGGCAGGAGCCCACAGACCTCGTCCAGGCAGTGCACCTGCAAAGGCAGCAGGGTCATCCCCAGAGCCACAGGGAGCAGAGGATGGGTCACAGGGATAGGTCACCAATGATGCCATGTGGCAGCTGGGAGGGGATTCTGGATGGTGTGGGGCACCCACATTGCCCTGGTGCAGGTAAAGGTGCCCACATTACTGGTAAAGGTGCTGGTAAAGGTGCCTCCAGCCCCATACCAGCAAGGTGGGCACAACAGCAGGAGCTTGGCCAACAGCTGGGCAAGGCCCTGCACTTTACATCATTCCTGCTCACACCCATCCCAACCATGTCCCCTTCCTGGCAGGACACTCTGAAGCCCTTTGGCATCAGCATGGCTGCTGGCATTGTATCCCACACGCCCTGCATGCCTCCCTGGCCCTGCTCACCTGCGAGCAGAGCGTTGCCTCCTCGTGGAAGTAGCCGTGCATGAAGTCGCAGTACTCCCGCGTGGTGATCTCACAGCTGCCAGGGGCAGGAGGGGGCTCATGAGGGCAGGGCACACTCAGGACACCCCTGAGCATCCCCCTCTGCTCCCAGCCTGCTGCCACTGTGCTTCCCACCCCCCAGGCTCTGTAACCCCCGCCCCCGGGCACAGCTCTGGACCCTGATGGGACAGCACGAGGCAGGAGTGCAGAGGGGGGAGCCAAGCCAGATGCCCCCTTTGCCCACCTGCCCTTGGTGCCAATGCAGCAGGGCCTGCCCTTGATCTCGCAGTCC